CCCCCAGCCAAAACAATAAATCTGTTTTGATGATTTCTGAGCTCTGATGCATTGTTGATTTGCAGGGGTCCTACAGCTATGCAGCATCTAMTTAAGCTTTTACTTTTGAAATAACACAACACTAGGAATTTTGAAATCTTTTCATCTGGCATCTTTAAAAAGCAGTATATACTTAGTGTCAGAATGCATTTATTACAAAAGATTATGCTTCAATTACTCTGCTTCTAAAGCAGGTACTTCACAGTTCTGTCATTATATTTCCACCAACAGAGCAGACTCTTGACTAAGTAACCTTYAGTGAATTTCTACCTTGTTGCTCGGAGTTTGTTGTTCCCATGCTAACATTTATTTGTTTACAGGAACGATTAGTGGATTTAGCAACACGAYCAGTGTGTAAACAGCCAAAATATATTCTTTTACTTCCAGGAATCATTTAATGACTGGGAATCCCCTCAYCAGAAACTGTAAAGTGAACAGGGACTGCCATTCATTAAAAGCGTTGAATTGTAGTCAAGGTGCTCTACAAGTCAGCAAAAAGGAGATGCTGTTGCTCTTTTTTTTATTCATGCCTGCATCAACAGTATCCTGTAGCCCCAGCTGCCCACACTTTTTTTTATTTTCACAAATCATTGCACATAATGCTTTTTGGCAAAACAAGTCCTCCAAAGTGTTGGTTTGACGTTTGTGTTGTAGAAAAGTTGTTACAGATATATTTCACTGAGCAGTATGTATTGTTGCTGTGCTCTCAGGATTTATAACTGAGCTGCAGAGCAAACATCGCTCGAGGAGTGAAGTGTTCGGAATTTGCTGTTTGTAAATAAAACATGCAGAACTGAGATAAATGTGTTTTAGAGACAGAAACAAAGACTAAAATCATTTCCCATTAAAGTCGAGACAATGAAATCTTTAATTTATCGTTCGTGTGCGGAAATGTTGTTTTGGAGGCTCYTGTTTCAGTTGCAGGTTAAATATAGCATCGACTTCTTTTTTTTTTTTTGCTTCCTGGCATGTTACCAGGACAGCACAAGCATTAGCCATTGATTGGTCAAACMGTTTGCAATCAGGTCCAGTATATCATCAGCTCAGTCAACCAAACATAGAGCAGAGGATTGGAACAGTGTGAACAAACAGTCCAGGTTTYTGTGAAGAAGCAATAAAACAACTCATTACGTTAGATTTAACATTTCTTAGAAATCCCTCCGATCCTCGACAGATGGCGAGGTCAGGAAATGTGTCGAGGCCAACTAATTTAGTTTTGAACCTGGTTTAAAGTAGCAGCTGATCAGCTTCTTGCAAATACTAAAATCTGTTCAGAAATTAATATTCAAATGTTGAGCAAACATTGACTTTATGAACCCCTTGTGACTCGACGTCGTCRAGTGTTTTAGCAGCTGGGACAGTTTCTGGATCAATGGATCCCATCACAATGGTAATGGACACAGTAGCTTTCAGACAGACAGCTGGTTGTTCAAATGGCATAAAAGATGATGAATGACAACAAGATTGAAGTGGCTGTCAGCATCCATCAGCTGGGATTCTCATTTAATTGGAGTCTGTCAGCATTTTGCATATTACCCCATTTCCTCTGTTGCAGTGTAATGTCCCATTAAGTGATTCACTTTGTAATAAGTGACATTTTTCACTGATCCTTGGCCACGTGTACCACTGCAATACTTCTGTTGGAGGAAAGCATAAAGGACAAAAGTTCAACTGTTAACTATTTGAACAAATCGAACAGCAACACCATTTGTAGTCCATAACAATTCTTCAGAGTCGAATGAGGCTTTCTCTATTTGTGCCCTAAATGTTTGGTAGTTTCATAAGTAGCAAAGTRCTCACACACATTCTAATTGTCATCTTCAGAGAACATGTAATGAAAAAACAAATCACATATACAGTGTGTTAGTGTTAAACCTCACTCACATTTCAATCAGGTTTATTGCCAAGTTGTGTCAATTATTGAATCAAAAGCACATCTTCAAGAACATTTTCAAGAACAGGAGTTCTGAACGACAACGTTGATTTTCTCTGCTGTATTCGTCTGCCTGTAGTTTAGCAATGGCAGCAGGAAGTGAATGAAGCCAGTCCGTGTTGACAAGGCTTCCAAACTAAATTAAATTTGTCGCACAAAGCCTTCAGCACTCATTAGCTGTGTTTCCATTGACCATGAAAATGCGCAAATTAGAATTTCGAAAATAAATTTGCTCAATGGAAACACGTCAATTTCGAAAAATATTATGTTTTTTGACAAAATGTTTTTGCGCTAGGATGAGGTGGTTTTTCGGCTGTGTCGAAATTGGTGTTTTTCGCAAAACTGCAATGGAAACACTTTTTTCGCATCACGGGAGTCACGTGATCAACAACCGGCTGTTTCTACTGGCGAAAAAGACGACGACGAAGAAGAAAACAGGAAGTAGAAATAGTAGTAAAATCACAGAAGTAGTAAAATAAAGTAGTAAACTCACCGACTGAAAGATAATTGCCCACACAGTAATTATCCAATAGGAGGCTTGTACCTTTTTGCTTAGTTAAATCCAGGTTGAAACTTTTGGCCAGGCAGTGTATTTTATCTAGACATTTAGTAGTTTATATCTTATACTTTCTTCTTTTTAAATCTTGTACTTTTGTCTTTTATTCCTCATGTACGTTGTATGTTCTACGTCAAATTCCTTGTGTGTAAAATCTGATTCTGAATCTGTGTTTTTCTCTTCAAAATTCTTTACAGATTTGGTCTCATCCTTCATCGAAATGAACCTGTCCTCTACAAGATCAACCTGGAGACCATGTCTTACGTCAAAAACATCAGTTTATGGGAATTTAACTGCATTCCTAAGTCTGTAGCGTACACTCATCTCGGTGGCTACTACTTCATCGACTGCAAGCCGGACTCCACCGGCGCCTCGCAGCCCCAGCTCATCTTAGACGATGTTACGGACAGCGTGATAGGGGAGAACGGCGACGTCACCGGCACGCCCTACGTGTCTCCAGACGGCCYCTATCTGGTCACGGTGGACGACGACGATGGCCTGATGAGGATCCAGACCATCTCTGACCGGGGCAAAGTCCAGGAGCCCTTCGACATCCACACCAACCTGCACCTGTCCGACCTGGCTTTCCAGCGCTCCTTCACGGAGATCCACCAGTACAACGTGTTCGGCAGCTCGGGRCGTCAAACGGACGCGCTGTTTGTGGAGCTCAGCACCGGCAAAGTCAAGATGATCAAGAGCTTYAAAGAAGCCATCAAGCCGTTCGACTGGCCATGGAGCAGCAGGAACAGGGTTGTGGCGAGCAGCGGACTTTTTGGACAGTACCTCACGACGCCGTCCAGGGAGTCCCTCTTCATCCTGGACGGACGGCTCAACAAGCTCAACTGTGAGATCACAGACGTCCTCAAAGGCAATGTGGTGGTTTGGGTTGGGGATTCTTAGGTCAGGAGATCAAGACCCAATGAGCTTTGTTTTCCTTCAAAAAAGGTACTGTTGCACTAAATTCTGTTGCAGGTTGTTTAATTTTGTGAGAGCAAGATAGCAAAAACCACAGACAAGAAACCAAATTGATTTGTTAGTTCGCTGAATGATAAATGTCCTTGATTTAAACTTTAAAATGTGAGGGCATAACTTAAAAACACCATTTCTGAAATAGTCTTACCAGGTTGTTTCCCTGACTTGCTTGGKAGTAGCAGTTTTTCAGGAAATTGGTTTGAATTTGTAAATGTATGCATTGTGTGGGAACACTAGATCTGACTTAAAACTGCAGCAAATCGACAAAAACCTATCTACGTAGTGCACTGTATATAAGTATATGGCCGGACTGAGTCTCGCGATCAAAGTTCACCCATCCCCAACTRTTTGTTTCCCCCCGTGCCTTCAAGGAAAACCCCTCTATCTGAAGAATAAGCATAATTATTCCCGGCGCACCTCTTTCTTTGACCCCCTCCATTCATGGTGAGCATAGTTCCTCACGAATGTGCTGCTCTCTTCTGTCCGTCCGTCGCAGCCGACTCGGTCTAATTAAAACGAGCCCGTGCTGTGATCTCATCCTGTTTGAAGTGGAGACTGAGTGCTTCATTATGGTTGTGCGCTCCCGTCACCTTTGATCCAAAATTATAACCAGCTCTGGAAGGTTTTAAATGTAGATTTTTTGTTTTGTTTTGTTTTTCTTTAGCAGAAAAGCCAGTTTGTGATGATAGTTATGTTGTGCCGGCTTTATTTACTAAATTAAAAGTGTTCCAAAACATTTCTTGTCAATGGATCTGAAGGAAATCTGGTAAAACTTTAAAAAACAAATCCCTGGACCAAACGACGACTCCTGTCGCTCAGTTTTGTAAACGCGCTTCAAGTGGGCGTTTTAAATGTGAAGTAATGAGGGGCTCGCACACTTGGCGRTGGGGTTGTGTAGTTGTTGTTCTGTGCAGAAAGTTGCTGAGCTTGAATGCGAGAAGCAGCTCTTTCTAAATGCTTCTACGGTAGATTTGTAGCTCGAAAGACATGGAAACTGTTTCCTGTTGGTCTCATTTCTATGCATTTTTACCCACCGACTCCAGATCACGACAGGCAGCTGGATCTCCAGTTTAGTTTCAAGTTATTCCGTCTTTCCTGTCGCAACTTTCTAACGTCATTTGTTGTTTTCCACCTTTAAACRCGACGGTACTGCTGATGATGAAATCTGACCTGTACATAGCTGCTGAAAGTGGGTTCGTTCGTTTCTCGTCAACGTGCACACGCCGTTCATTTTCTGACCACGCACTCCTTTTTAAGAAAGAAAAAACACACAACGGTCATTTAGCTTCATCCTGTACCTGAGCACATTGTGATCACAGCTTTCAGCTTCATATATCCATTTCCTGTATGTTACTTTACGTGATTGTTATTTATATAGAGACATTGCGCTTGTCATTTTACTCAACAATAAAAAAACTGAAAAGAAAAAGAGTGTTTTGTTTTATTAATGACCCATTGTTGTTGAAGCATAATTAGGAAGTAAAGCGCTTCATTTAGCAGCCAAAGTTACTAATTATTAAATACAACAAAAAGAAGGTCAGGTCTCTGGCGTGCCTTTGGGTGCTTTTATTCTGCAGAAAGGAAAAAATTAAAGTGTTTCTACTAATGTGGCTGGAAATAGCAGAGAATGGAACATAAAGCTGTAAAAATCTTTGACCCAACAGACAGATTGAACTGACGCCTGTCTGCACTGCGATCAGGGAACTTCTGAGTTTTTAGCAAATAACTTCAATATATTCACCTGCTGACTTCCTGCACCTGAACTGAAGTCAAAATGAAAAATGACTTAACTTGATGTTTAAATGTCAAAGGGGAAATATCCTGCAAAATCCACCTTTTTAACTGTTAAATACATTTTGTTGTGGACTTGGAGTCTCTATGAGGCAGAAAAGTTTAAGTTAGTCTCTCCTGGTGTTGCAGAGATATCTTTATATTCTGTTTGGGTCATATTTTTCGGCCTGTTTAGTTTTATGTATTTTCTATTATGTTCTCTAACTATTGCATCAAATTATCTGCAATGGGCAAGTCTTCTGTTCATCTTTTAATTAAATTGTAAATAAAATGTTTCTGCAAGCTACAAAATGTAACCCTCTCTCTCAAACCGGAGTGGACCGGTCTGGAAGCAGGAGGGGGCGGGGCTTGAATCATCTCGAAGGAACAGTAACAAAACCAGCTGGTAAAGTTAGAATAAGAAGGAATTCAGACCAAAGCATTGTAGTTCCACTTTATAAAGACCCCAACTGAAAGATGTGAAATGGAAGCATGATGTGTCTACTTTAAGTCTCAGGAAAGGTTTTATTACAGGTTGTCTGTAAATATCAGGTTACAGGTTAACTAAAATATGAGTCAAAATAAAAATTAAACATTCAAATAGTTTGAAATCTTACAGAAGTGATTATGTTAAAATATTTATGGGTAATATTTATGCAACCATTTTATTTTTTTGTTCCAAAACAATTAGCCTCCTAATATGCAAATGTCTGCCTGTAGACTTRAATGAGCTGATTGACAGAACTTTATTTTTTAGCATCATTTATAGTCTCAAAATGTTGATTGTTCTGAGTCAGCTGGGCTTGAAATCTAGAGAAAAAAATAAAGCAAAGTCAGAGGTGACGCCATTATCGACTGTTGACAACTAGCTAACAAACAGCTTTTACAAAAGTTCTTCATTTTAAACATTTTCAACAGATTCGAGCTACAAACTAACTCAAAACAAAAGTCATCATGGACAACTAGAACCCTTTGTTTAGCTTCTGCCAAAGCTAGCGCTCCAGAGCTCTCCTCTGACTGAAAACTCCAAGACTCCTGCCCAAAACGTTCAGATCTAAACGCCACACTGACAACTGCTCCAGACTCTCTGATCCTTGATTCTAAAGTGTAATATTCCAGTCTATTATTAATGATGCTGTGTGCGTGGAGGAGGCAGAAAACAAAACAAAAAAAGTCTGGACAAGCAGAATTAGTTTTGCAAGCCGAGCACAAAAAAATGGGCTTTGATTTTTAAATGTTGGCCACTCACTGGTCACATTTACACATTTTTCTCACAGTTCTCAGTTGCAAATTGTTGCCTACCCTCCACTGGTCAGTTAATGCCCCAAACAACATCAAAATCTAAAACCTAATGTGATATTTAGCGGAAAAAATAGTAACAGAATTGGATAAAACAATTATTCTGCCACTTTGGTTTAGTGCAAATAAAATAACTTACATTTTTATTATAAAGACAAGGGGATACAGAAGTCGTTACCTCTACAATAAATGCACAATTAACATTGCTATGTTAGATTATTTTCTTGTTCCATCAACTAAAATACATTTTTGCAGAAAAAGTGTTGAATCATCTTAAGAATAACTCAACGTTACAATCAGCAAACAGGTTGGATCTCAGCTGAAACGGCTCAGCTTCAACCCTGGAAAGGTGATCAGGTAACACAATTAGTTGCTCCTCTTGCCAACATCCAGCTGTCCACCCATTTACGCAGGCTAAGAGACACTTTGAGGACAGTAATGAAAATGTTGACATCCTGGCCAGAGGAAACAGATGGTTGGATTCGACACCCACAACGCAGCCTCGACTTTCCTCTGCAGGTGGGTTTGCAGCCATTTTACACCTTGAAACGTGTAAAACTTCTACCAACTCACAGCTGAAAATAACCCAACGTTTGGCTCAGGTGATCTTCGACAAGCATGAACAAAAATGTCCCAAAAAAGGCCGACAAACATGAAATGTTTTGAACAAGATGAAAGCTGCAAGCATAGAAGTCCAGTTCCTTTTTATTCAGCACTCAGGATCATCTGAACAACAAACATGAATCCTCCACCGTCGGATCTAGTTTAAATTAATGTTTTTATAAAGGTTGGTTAAATCTCCCCTGTGGATTTGTAGTTTTAAACATGAAAACTCTGGAAACTGTCAGATACGTTTGAAGACTGTAGCTTTAGTATTTTATTTTTTATTTATTTATTTA